TTCCATTCTATCCCATCCTTCCATTCTATCCCATCCTTCCGTTCCATCCCATCCTTCCGTTCCATCCCATCCTTCCATTCTATCCCATCCTTCCATTCCATCCCATCCTTCCATTCCATCCCAACCTTCCATTCTATCCCATCCTTCCATTCCATCCTTCCATTCTATCCCATCCTTCCATTCTATCCCATCCTTCCATTCCATCCCATCCTTCCATTCCATCCCATCCTTCCATTCCATCCCATCCTTCCATTCCATCCCATCCTTCCGGTCCATCCCATCCTTCCGGTCTATCCCATCCTTCCGGTCTATCCCATCCTTCCATTCTATCCCATCCTTCCATTCCATCCCATCCTTCCATTCTCTCCCATCCATTCTTCTATTCTTCCATCCAAGAGATGTTCAGAGACTACAGACATCCCCCAAAAAATGGCAGGGACTAGAGACATCCCCCAAGATATGGCAGAGACATCCCCCAAGAAATGGCAGAGACCAGAGAAATCCCCCAAGAGATGGTCAGAGACTACAGACATTCCCCAAGAGATGGTCAGGGATGAAAAACATCCCCCAATAGATGGTCAGAGACAACAGACATCCCCCAAGAAATGACAGGGACTAGAGACATCCACCAAGAGATGGTCAGAGACTACAGACATCCCCCCAAGAAATGGACAGAGACTACAGACATCTCCCAAGAGATGATCAGGGACTACAGACATCTCCCAAGAGATGATCAGGGACTACAGACATCTCCCAAGAGATGATCAGGGAATACAGACATCTCCCAAGAAATGTACAGACATCTCTCAAGAGATGATCAAGGACTACAGAAATCCCCCAAGAGATATCAGAGACTACAGACATACCTGAAAAGATGGTCAGAGACAACAGACACCCCCCAGGAGATGACCACGGACTACAGACATCCCCAGGAGAGATGATCAGGGACTACAGACATCCACCAAGAGATGGTCGGAGACTACAGACATCCCTGAAGAGTTGGTCAGAGACTACAGACACCCCCCCCCCCCGAGAGATGGTTAGGGACTACAGACATCCACCAAGAGATGGTCAGAGACTACAGACACCCCCCAAGAGATATTCAGAGACTACATACACCCCCCCAAGAGATGGTTAGGGACTACATACACTCCCCAAGAGATGGTTAGGGACTACATACACCCCCCAAGAGATGGTCAGAGACTACAGACATCCCTGAAGAGTTGGTCAGAGACTACAGACAACCCCCCAAGAGATGGTTAGGGACTACAGACATCCCTGAAGAGTTGGTCAGAGACTACAGACACCCCCCAAGAGATGGTTAGGGACTACAGACATCCCTGAAGAGTTGGTCAGAGACTACAGACACCCCCCCCAAGAGATATTCAGAGACTACATACACCCCCCCAAGAGATGGTTAGGGACTAAATACACTCCCCAAGAGATGGTTAGGGACTACATACACCCCCCAAGAGATGGTCAGAGACTACAGACATCCCTGAAGAGTTGGTCAGAGACTACAGACAACCCCCCAAGAGATGGTTAGGGACTACAGACATCCCTGAAGAGTTGGTCAGAGACTACAGACACCCCCCCAAGAGATGGTTAGGGACTACAGACATCCCTGAAGAGTTGGTCAGAGACTACAAACACCCCCCAAGAGATGGTTAGGGACTACAGACATCTCCCAAGAGATGGTCAGAGACTCTGCACTGGTTGGAAACTGGAGACATACTTTTCCAATCAAGGCTCCCAATGCTGGCTGCTGGGGTCTGAGGCTCACACAGTAGAGGTACCCAATCCACATGTGGCCCTTGTGCTGTAACTTGGACACCAAGGGTTAGATACCAGACATAGATTAGTCACTCTGTGTCCTTCCTTGGGATGCCCGCAGCCAGGAGGACTGCTGCACGGGGACATTTCTGGTTGGATTGGGTGAAGGTCTCTAAGAGGCACAATCGATCGGGTAGATTAGAGGATAGAAAACATGCCTGAATGTTGTCATCTTCCCTGATTGTTGGACCCCCTCCCCCCCAGTACAAGGACAAGAGAAGCGGTACTGTGCAGAGTCCATACATTTTATTACTGTCTGCACCCCCATGGAGGAAATCCCCCTACTTGTCCTCTTTACTGTAATCACTGAAAGTGAAACAGAATTGGTTGTCACCAGGACAGGAATAGAGCAGAATCTTCCAATGAGGACACTAGTTCTGGTGATTCCCTCCCTTTGGAGGGGTTTCCTCTCATTCCCTGCTCTGGCTATGGGGCAGAAAGTGAAAGACGTCCCCAATGGGGCTCAGATAGTGGGAATTTCGGGGTGCGTTGGAGCTGGAATGGTTTACGTGTTCCCGGCAACACGATTATTACAATTGCGCTGGAACAAAGTGCACAGTACTGCGCAGTTCCATGCGTTCTGGGGGCCGCCAACGCACCCACGTTTACCAGATGTGTGGGGATGCCAATGAGAATGAATGCAGAGCGCAGCGCATTTGCGTACGGTGCAGGAAACACATGCGTACGGTGCAGGAAACACATGCGCTCTGTGCATTCCCGCACAAAAAACGAAAGGCAAAAAAAAAGAAAAAGAAAAGTTTTGCCTTCAGCTTTAATGTATACAGACCTAATACAGAGACCCCCCCTCCCCTCCCCCCCCCCCCTCATAACAACAATAGTAGAAGTTGTACTCTGCGGTGTTTATATAATACAGGAAATCCAGGAAATATTATTAAACTTTTAGAAACAAAATATCAACATTCCCTGTATTGTATACAAAGTGATACAATGTATCAGAGGGGCCCCCAGAGACCAGCAGGCAGGAGAGGAGAGCTGGGGGGTCTGTACACCCTGGGGGGGTAATAATCAGGGGGGCTCCGGGGGTATTAGGGGGGAAATGGGTCACTCACCGTGCTCAGTGCGGGTGATCCGGGTGTGGAGGAAGTTCGGGTGACTCGGGACTTGAAGGAGGAATTTACTTTCTGTTTCTGTTCTCCACCTCCAGCTCCACCCTTTACTGGAAACAGAAAGTAAAGCGACACCGACAGAGAAGGGGGGCAGCCTGGTACAGAGAGGGGGGCAGCCTGGTACAGAGAGGGGGGCAGCCTGGTACAAAGAGGGGCAGCCTGGCACAGAGAGGGGGGCAGCCTGGCACAGAGAGGGGGGCAGCCTGGCACAGACAGGGGGGCAGCCTGGCACAGAGAGGGGGGCAGCCTGGCACAGAGAGGGGCAGCCTGGCACAGACAGGGGGGCAGCCTGGCACAGAGAGGACAGAGAGGAGGGCAGCCTGGTACAGAGAGAACAGAGAGGAGGGCAGCCTGTTACAGAGAGGAGAGCAACCTGGTACAGAGAAGAGGGCAGCCTGGCACAGAGAGGAGAGGAAGGAGGGCAGCCTGGTACAGAGAGGATAGAGAGGAGGGCAGCCTGGCACAGAGAGGACAGAGAGGAGGGCAGCCTGGCACAGAGAGGATAGAGAGGAGGGCAGCCTGGTACAGAGAGGACAGAGAGGAGGGCAGCCTGGCACAGAGAGGACAGAGAGGAGGGCAGCCTGGCACAGAGAGGATAGAGAGGAGGGCAGCCTGGCACAGAGAGGGGGGCAGCCTGGTACAGAGAGGATAGAGAGGAGGGCAGCCTGGTACAGAGAGGGGGGCAGCCTGGTACAGAGAGGATAGAGAGGAGGGCAGCCTGGTACAGAGAGGACAGAGAGGAGGGCAGCCTGGTACAGAGAGGAGGGCAGCCTGGCACAGAGAGGATAGAGAGGAGGGCAGCCTGGTACAGAGAGGACAGAGAGGAGGGCAGCCTGGCACAGAGAGGATAGAGAGGAGGGCAGCCTGGTACAGAGAGGACAGAGAGGAGGGCAGCCTGGCACAGAGAGGACAGAGAGGAGGGCAGCCTGGCACAGAGAGGATAGAGAGGAGGGCAGCCTGGCACAGAGAAGAGGGCAGCCTGGCACAGAGAGGATAGAGAGGAGGGCAGCCTGGCAGAGGTGGAGATATATACTTTGTGTTTTGTGTAGCAGAAGAGACAGTTCTAGAAGTAGTGTGTGTGTTTGTGTGTGTGTGTGGGGGGGGGTACTTTTAATCAGATATAATGTCTAGAAGAGGGGTCTGAGACCAGCCCAGATTGGGGTCATGCTTACACCTCCGTTTGTGGAGAGAGTTAGACAGACAGTGGCGGGTCATAGTATTGGACAAACAGTGGGGAGGCAGAAGGATGGACAGACAGTGGGGAGGCAGAGGGATGGACAGACAGTGGGGAGGCAGAGGGATGGACAGACAATGGGGAGGCAGAGGGTTGGACAGACAATGGGAGGTCATAGGGATGGACAGACAGTGGGGAGGCAGAGGGATGGACAGACAGTGGGGTGGCAGAGGGATGGACTAACAATGGGAGGTCATAGGGTTGGACAGACAATGGGAGGTCATAGGGTTGGACAGACAGTTGGGAGTCAGAGGGATGGACAGACAGTGGGGAGGCAGAGGGATGGACAGACAATGGGAGCTCATAGGGTTGGACAGACAGTGGGGAGGCAGAGGGATGGACAGACAGTGGGGAGGCAGAAGGATGGACAGACAGTGGGGAGGCAGAGGGATGGACAGACAGTGGGGAGGCAGAAGGATGGACAGACAATGGGAGGTCATAGGGATGGACAGACAGTGGGGAGGCAGAGGGATGGACAGACAGTAGGGTGGCAGGGGGATGGACTAACAATGGGAGGTCATAGGGTTGTACAGACATTTGGGAGTCAGAGGGATGGACAGACAGTGGGGAGGCAGAGGGATGGACAGACAGTGGGGAGGCAGAGGGATGGACAAACAATGGGGGGTCAGAGGGTTGGACAGTCAGTGGGTGGTCAGAGGGTTGGACAGTCAGTGGGTGGTCAGAGGGTTGGACAGACAGTGGGTGGTCAGAGGGTTGGACAGACAGTGGGTGGTCAGAGGGTTGGACAGACAGTGGTGGGTCAGAGGGTTGGACAGTCAGTGGGTGGTCAGAGGGTTGGACAGTCAGTGGGTGGTCAGAGGGTTGGACAGACAGTGGGTGGTCAGAGGGTTAAACAGACAGTGGTAAGGCAGAGTGAAGGACAGACAGTGGTAAGGCAGAGGGAAGGACAGACAGTTTTATTGATAGACAGGGGACACCCCATCCTGGTGAGAACTTCACCTTCAGATAGAGATTTATCGGCAAAGCTGATGAAATATTTTGGAAGCAGATCGAAGTCTGGCGGAGGAGAGTGCGATGTGACCAGGGTGGATGGACAGACATACTACGCCATCTTCCAGAATCAGGATGGTGAGTCCCATTATCTGCCCCCCGGATGACACCAACAATATAGTGTAACAATCTCTCACCAGTGTAAACTTCCCAACATGGCATATCAACTGGAGAAAAGGATTGAAAGCTGGAATATGACTGGTTGTTCTGTAATCCAGGTAAAGCAGTGGTTACATAATTACATAGTTAGTCTGGCTGAAAAAAAGACAAAAGTCCATCCAGTTCAACCGAAATAAATAAATGAATATTATAATCCTACACCCACAGTGGATCCAGAGGAAGGCAAAAAACCCAGCAAAGCACAATTCAATTTGCTCCTGCAGGGGAAAAAATCCTTCCTGATCCCCCGAGAGGCAATCGGATATTCCCTGGATCAACGTTCCCTATAAATGTTATATCCAGTTATATTCTGTGTATCCAAGAAAGAATTCAGGACTTTTTTTAAAACAATCCACTGAGCTGGGAAGAACCAACTCTTGAGGGAGTCTATTCCACATTGTGGTGTCACTGGTCCGGCAGAATGTTGGACACTCATACACAGAGGACAATGTCTATACTTTATTGAATACCGACAGCCAGTCGAGTCCTTGTTGAAACAGAGTGCAGCAGCCATGCCAAGTAGGAAGAACATGGTGCCCTCAGGACATTGGGATTATGTAAAGTGTTTGGACAACAGCACTTCCTTGGAGTTTTATTCAGTCCTTTTGAAAGTTTGTCCTACTTAGATAGCAGTTGGGTCACTCCAGCAGATCTTGGAGGTTGTGGCACAACATGGTGACTATAGGCAGCCAGGTCTGCAGATTGGTTGGTAGGCTGAAGCCAGAAGGTCCCTGAGCCTTGACTGTAAGTTCAGACAGGCCATGGAGTACAGCAGATTGATGAGGTTGAAGGTCAAAAGGCAGGAATGTGACCAAAACAAGCCAAGTGAAGGTCAACCAGAGGGCCAAGTTAATGATCACATTATAGGTCTGTATCAAGGTCTGTCAAGTCTCTGTATTGCAATGGCTTTCATCCCTTGAGGGAACAAAGGAACTCTCTCCACAGTAATATGGACCCTTTCAATAATTAAGGGTCATCTATTGTTATCAGAATTGGCCTTCTGGTTCTTAGCAGAGGATAGCAGGTATCTAAAACGCACTGACACTTTTTCCACCTATTGATCCACCCATCCATGCCAGCATCTAGGTGAAGGGCTCAGAGGAACTGTCCCAGCTGTCCCTGATAAAGTTGAATGAGAAGCTTCTTCACTTATGGTGCCTCCATTGCACTGGCAGAGCCTCATCTTTCCTATCCTCAGTTAGTCTTTGCAGATCCTCCTCTAGCTATCTTCACTGCCAACTATATGTGGTATTAAGAATATGGAAGAGTCATTGATGGACATATCAGTTGGGCCCAGGGGCGGACTGACAACTCATGGGGCCCCTGGGCAATAGGGGATCATGGGGTTCCTGTGTCCTTGCCCAAACTCAAAAAAGCCTATGAAAAAGGTACCAGGGGCATCTCATGGGGTCCCCTACTAATCCCGGCCCTCGGGCAGTGCCCGAGTTTCCAAATGGTCAGTCCGCCCCTGGTTGGGCCTATCGTTTACCCATGTGTGGAGCTCTGAATCCTTGGTGTTTCTCGATCTTGAACTGTCCCGTAGGGAAGGATGTATAACATCAAAGACTCATTTTGAGCCTTCCGCTGGTAATTCCTATTTACATTTTCATAGTTGTCATCATCCAAAATGGATTCAGATTATCCCCAGAACACAGAATTTTGGATAAGGGTTAAGATCCGGAATTGGTTCATAGAGCTTACCTGGATTGCTCCTTGGTTACCAAGAAATATAGTCGCACATCTCCTGTTGGTATATCTGAAGTTAAGTGTATTACCCAATATCATCACAAGCACAAACAAATGGAGAGGATTATTAAGTGACATTGGGGTATCTTGTTACAAGACCCCAACTTAGGTCCCATCCTGGCTGATAAACCAGAGTTATCTACAGGAGAGCATGTAATGTCATAGTGGCCCCCAGTAGGATAAAGCACCAAGCATCTCCCCCTTCGGGTTCACTTACCGTGTTCTGCCAATTGTTTGGTGTGTATTGAAATAATAAGCCGAGGTGCAAAATGTGTCATTTTGTACAACATCGTCAAAAGAGTTTTAAGGACTCTTTTGCTAGAACATAACTTTTTAAAACTTTCTCTTCCTGTTCCACTGAATATGTGGTTTACGGTCTGTCTTGCCCCTGTGCTCTCCTGTACGTGGGCCACAAGATTCATACCGCAAGGGCCCGCTTTAGGTTACACAGGAGGCTTATTGAGGACGGTAGTGAAGATCAAAGTGTCCCCAGATATTTTCTTACAAAACACAGCAAGTCCTGGTGGAGGAGCGCAAGGTCCTACAAGCTGTATACTGACTACATCACATTGTAGCAAAGTGTCATTTCTTCAGTGTTGTCACATGGAAAGAAAATCAAATATTTACACAAATGTGAGGGGGGGGCTCACTTCTGGGAGATACTGTATATATAAGTACTGAGTACATATGCAGCTTCTACTTTTCAGAGGTGCGATATTGTTCTATGTACAATCCGTGTTTTATTGATTGCATGGAATATTCTCATTTTCTAATTTTTCGAGTTTCACCTGTATATATATATATACATTGTATACAGTCCAGGGGAGGGGGGGGACTCACTTCTGGGAGATACTGTGTATATATATATATATATACATTGTATACAGTCCGGGGGAGGGGGGGACTCACTTCTGGGAGATACTGTGTATATATATATATATATACATTGTATACAGTCCGGGGGAGGGGGGGACTCACTTCTGGGAGATACTGTGTATATATATATATATATACATTGTATACAGTCCGGGGGGGGGGGGACTCACTTCTGGGGAGAGATATATATATATACATTGTATACAGTCCGGGGGAGGGGGGACTCACTTCTGGGAGATACTGTATATATATATACATTGTATACAGTCCGGGGGGGAGGGGGGACTCACTTCTGGGAGATATATATATATACATTGTATACAGTCCGGGGGAGGGGGGGACTCACTTCTGGGAGATACTGTATATATATATACATTGTATACAGTCCGGGGGGGGGGGGGACTCACTTCTGGGAGATATTTATATATATATACATTGTATACAGTCCGGGGGAGGGGGGACTCACTTCTGGGAGATATTTATATATATATATATATATATATACATTGTATACAGTCCGGGGGAGGGGTGGCCTCACTTCTGGGAGATACTGTATATATATATATACATTGTATACAGTCCGGGGGAGGGGGACTCACTTCTGGGAGATACTGTATATATATAATATACATTGTATACAGTCCGGGGGAGGGGGGACTCACTTCTGGGAGATACTGTATATATATATATATACATTGTATACAGTCCGGGGGGAGGGGGGGACTCACTTCTGGGAGGTACTATATATATATATATATACATTGTATACAGTCCGGGGGAGGGGGGATTCACTTCTGGGAGATATATATATATATATACACACACACATTGTATACAGTCCGGGGGAGGGGGACTCACTTCTGGGAGATATATATATATACATTGTATACAGTCCGGGGGAGGGGGACTCACTTCTGGGAGATATATATATATACATTGTATACAGTCCGGGGGAGGGGGACTCACTTCTGGGAGATACTGTATATATATATATACATTGTATACAGTCCGGGGGAGGGGGACTCACTTCTGGGAGATATTTATATATATATATATATATATATACATTGTATACAGTCCGGGGGAGGGGTGGACTCACTTCTGGGAGATATATATATATATATATACACACACATTGTATACAGTCCGGGGGAGGGGCACTCACTTCTGGGAGATACTGTATATATATATATACATTGTATACAGTCCGGGGGAGGGGGGGACTCACTTCTGGGAGATATATATATATATATATATATATACATTGTATACAGTCCGGAGGAGGGGGGGCTCACTTCTGGGAGATATATATATATATATATATATACATTGTATACAGTCCGGAGGAGGGGGGGCTCACTTCTGGAGATATATATATATATATATATATATATACATTGTATACAGTCCGGAGGAGGGGGGGCTCACTTCTGGGAGATATATATATATATATACATTGTATACAGTCCGGGGGAGGGGGGGCTCACTTCTGGGAGATATATATATATATATACATTGTATACAGTCCGGGGGAGGGGGGGCTCACTTCTGGGAGATACTGTGTATATATATATATTGTATTTTTATTTTTCATATAATGCACCTTATTATACCTATTAGTGTGTTTTTTTTAAAAAGTGCCAGGCGTGTATTTTTTTTTTTTTGTTATATGCCTTTTTTTACATCTCCCCACTGGTAGTATGAGAGGTTCTCATGAAGAACCACATACGTGTTTATATGTGTTTTTTTTCATATACTTATCTTTCTGTGTCTTTTTATTCATCTTTTTGATGATGAAACACATTGGAGGGAGCCTCGCCCTGTGTGACGTCACCATGTTCTGGGGGACGGCAGCCATCTTGTTGGTTTGAAGTTCTTGTGTTATAATGCTGGTTATCTTATATCCTGACGTGGAACATAAATACATTTGAAAAGTATATATTTATTTCTACACTATAAGTTGCCTTTTCTTTCTACTCCTTCCCTGACCATCAGATGGGAGTTTCTTCTATTTGGAAATCTTAAGTCCTCACTCACGCGGGACGTTTTTACAGCGGCTGTTTTTGGCTTTTGACGTTTTTTTTCCTACAGCTAGTAAACCCCCCCAGCATGTTCTCCTCAGTATCCATACACACAGAGACTGGAATCAACGTTTTTTGCCTGGAAAAACCCCCCAGAACTAGCGGGATTCTAGAGGAGTGTTTTAGCTATACAAATGCTCTAACGTTAAAAAATGTGGTAAAACGCAATAAATTGCAGCAAACCAACGTTTTTGGACTTTTTTTTTACAACGGAAA